TGGCAAGGAAATGTCATTCCGTGCTTGAGGTGTGAGCTTGTATGTTATTCTTCTTTGATGCATGCTTATTTGTTCAGATGTCATTTGCCATTGGAGGTTTGGACATAGGGTGCTTCGCATTTAGAAATTTTTTCTTGGTTGAAAGAGGGGTCAACTATATTAGTGGTACAAGAGGGGTCAACTATATTAGTGGTACAATAGGGGAACTTGTCTTGATGTTGATTAAACCGTTCTTAAATGCTATATAATATATGAAGTACTTTTAGAGTCGAAAATGGAAATATTTTTTTTTTTCCAAACTTTGGATTGATGATAATACTTGATTTTTTTTTTTTTTTACCTTTGGGTTTATGAAGTCGCTGGCAATGAATTATATGCATTTCAAGATGGTATTCTAAGCTTGCATGACTACCATTACAGACCTTGATGTTTTCCATTAAGTTTATTTTTCCTCTGCTCATTGATTGGATACAGGAATGGTCGGAGAAGAGCCCTACTTTTGCACTGGATTCAAGAGAAATCTCGGGGCTAGAAAGCCTAGTACTGCTTTTAAAATGTCTAAAAATCATGGAAAATGCTCTTTTCCTTAGCAATGATAATCAGGTATCAGGTTTTGTCTTGGCAGATCCAAGGTCTTATATGCTTGAATGCGTCATGTTTTATGTACCAGGTTTAAAGTTATTTATAAATTGATGGCTTGTTGTTTGAATCTGCTTATGAATGCATTTCAGCGCCATTTACTTGAGATGAAAGGAAGTTTTGATGGTCAACGAGCTCCCCGTTCTTTCACAAAGCTTGTTCTAAGTGTCATTAAAATTCTCTCAGGTATCAAGTATGGTTTACTGTTTCCATTAAGCTATTTATAGGGCGTGATTGGATACAAATATATCCGCTCAAAACGAGTTTTTTTTGGTTAACTAGTGTTAATTTTGAAAAAGATGGTATGTTAGTTGTTAGTGAGATTTCGAGTTTATATTAAAATAATATTTAAAGTAAAGTAGTTAAGGTTGATTTGATGTAAAAGTAGGATAGAGATAATGGGAAGTGATGGTTAGTTTAAATTATGTGAGTAGATGAATAATGAATTAAAGTCAATGCGGAGTGTAAGAATGATTGATATTATTTAATTATATGATAATGTTGAGGATAGTTGGGTTGAGTTAAAGTTGAGTTGGATTTTGAGTATGAATTGATTATGTATTGAGAAAATTTATAAACAAACACACCCATAATCTCTCATACACGTGTGTCTTTTATTTTTATCTGTACCCACTTGTTCCTGATCTGTCATTGATGACTATTACATGTTCCTGATCTGTCATTGATGACTAGGTGTTTCATTACTGAGGAACTCTTCACCATCCAATTCCAAAGATGAAAAGGTGGGCTGTATTCCTTACGAGGGCAATCATTTCGAAGGCCTTTCTGGCTTAGGTTTAACTTCTCAGGAAAGTTTTACCCAGCTCGACGTGATCAGATCGAGTGCTGGACCCACTCAATGTTCCGCTGATGCCCTGTTGCTTAAGCTGAGAGCCGAATCCTCCAAATCAGGAATGTGTGGCGGGACATCAAGGGAATCTGATAGGATGGTCCGCACGAGTGGTTATTCAGGAATGGACGGTCAGGATCCTTTTATGTTTGACGAGGATGACTGTGAGCCCTCAAAGTGGGACGTAATGTCGGGAAGCTCGAATAAGCCGTTGTCCCAAGGTAAGAGGCAAAGTGGGAGTCGATTTGGATTTGAGAGTCACCCTGTTCTTGTGGCCAGCCAGCAAGAATCGAATGATGTAGGATATCGTCATTCGCAGGAGGCTTCTTGTTCTTCGGCTGTTGACGCTGATAATAAGTCTCTTGGCGGATTGTCTACTCACGGCTGTCAAGGTACTACTTGCATTTTATTTTTTAGCCGACACGTTTTGGTCTTTATTGGAATACTAAATTGTTGAACATTATAAGCTTCTTGGAAGGATGTTTTGATGAATATTGCTTGCACGTTATTTGGTAAAAAAAAAATTTATCCCCACTTTGGACTTTGGTTATATTTTTCGTTGGATTTTTTACGCTCCAAATTTTTTACCTATCTAAGTTTCTTTATTGTTTCTTGTTTTTTGTTTGTTGGTGCGTTGTTTTTCTGTGAATTTTATTACACTATCACATTTCCTATTTATTTCTTCCAAATGGCATATGGTTATGATGGGTCTAATCTAACCATTTTGCGTATGTTGCTCTCTTCGTGTCAGATAATTATCTTATTTGCAATATATATATAATTACACTGACCAAGGCTAAATTAATGGTCATTGTTAGAGGATCATTTCGTTGCATTTTGATTTTCAGGTTCTTATGAACTTGACGAACGACAACGCTGACGGCTGTCGGCAAATTGCCACCTGCGGGGGATTAGAAATATTGTCTTCTCTGATTGCTGGTCATTTTTCGTCATTTAGAACTTGTTTGCCGCATTCTGATGATGCTAGGGACATTATCTCATCATCTAAATCGAGTCCTAAGAGCAGTACGCCTCTCACTCACTGACCGAGAGCTAGATTTCCTCGTTGCTCTTTTGGGTTTGCTTGTGAATTTGGTGGAGAAAGATAGTCGGAACAGGTCAAATCATCCTCTATTTAGCTCTTTTATC